TGCCTGTGGCTGGCCGCCTGTGTGGACTTGTGCGTCACGCTGAGCGAGGTGAAGGAGTGGCGTTTCTTGGTGTTCTTCTTGCCGTCCGCTCTCCGCTGAAAGGCACTGACTGCCCCGGAGCTGCTTAAAGTGGGAGCCGGGGCCACGCTGGCCACCGCGCCGGGGTCCAAGGGCAAGGCGACGTCGCAGGCGGACACAGCGACAGGGCACAGCTTGTCCATCTCGATGAGCTGCTTCGCGGAGTCGTTGAGCTATGTGAGAAGGCGCAGGGGGCTTGGTTAGACGCATCGCACACCCCGCCTGGTGCCCTGTGCCCTCCCGGCTGCACTTCCACTTACGTTGCACACCCTGCCTGGTACCCTGTGCCCTCCCGGCTGCACTTCCACTTACAAGCGGACCCCTCGTTCCCCGGTCAGGTCTCTCTACTGGTGGCTCCCAGCCGAACGCCGTGGTACACACAGCAAGGTGGGGACCTTATTGGAAAGCCTTCTGGAACAGCTCCGAGACCCAGGGAGCCATGACGGAGTGCAGGGCAACTCATCAAACACACCGGTCACCTGGCCGACCTCCACCTTTGCAAAGGCTCACCATTTCCTGGGGACCAGGTACAGCCCTGGGGAGGTGAGAAAGGCCACCCGCCCACACCCCCACACCCGCAGTCCCTGCCCCTGCACATGCTGGTCACCCGGAGGATCATTCAAAGCTGTGACCAGCTGCATTCCCCAGCGACTGGCATGGATGGTGCCCATGGCAGGGGACTCTGCCCAGGGGGCGTGAGCCCTGGAGTTCTGCTCACTAAGGCTGTGTAGCCCCGAGGCTGGCCCAGGCCTGTTCAGAGGACTCGGGGCTGTAATCTCCAGGGCCTGCCAAGCTCCATCCTCGCGTCCACGTTCTACAGAACCGCAGGAGTGCTTTTCAGCGAGCAGGCTGCCTTGGACGAGTCCGACCCTGGTGGTGCTTGTGTGTGGGGGGCTGCAGGCACCGGTGCTGAGCCACCTGACAACTGCGGCTCCACGCCTTTCTGCTCAGGGCGGGGCCATTGTCTGGTTGCTCCAGGAGGCTGGAGGGCACGGGGTGAGTCTGGCACAGCACCGGTGAGCACCAGCTGTGGAGACCAATGCCCGTTCTCCCTCAGCGTCCCCAGCTCCCACACCTGGAGGAAGCTGTTGTTCGAGCCGCGGGATGCAGGCAGTGGGTGGGATGCGGTTCACACCGGAGGCCAGTGATGGGAACAGCGAAGGGAGGGATCTGGGCTAGCTAGCGGCCAGCCCCACCTGAGCACACAGGTGTGCCACAAACAGGCTAGCTGCAGGGCTTGGGGAACGCGTTATGCCTGAAGGCCTCGCCCAGGGTGCCTGTCTGTCTCTCTTTCAGGAAGGAAATGCACAAGAGCAGTCTTCAAAAGTTCAGAAAATTCGTAGTATAATAAAAGCTATGCATAGATTTCAATTTTTTCACACCCAAATAAACTTGTGCTTTAATTCTATTTTTCTGTAAGCTTTTTGAAGTCCCTCATAAATTAAAAGGAAGAAACAGGTGGCTGACAGGGCCGTCTCAGGCTGCACTTACTCGGCCTCTTGCACACCTAGGACGGAATCCGCAGTCCTGACAGGACAGGCAGCGGGGACTCCGCACTGTGTGCATGGCCGGGAGGGGACGGGGTGCCCCAGCCTGGGCCTTCTCCCTGCAGACGGGTTATACAAATGCCACCGTGCCGGGTAGGCGCTGTCGAGTCACTCTCCCAAACCCTCTCGACGTAGCAGAAGGCCCTGATTAAATGCCAGCTGGCCCTGGGGGCCTCCTGAGGAGTGCAGAGTTCAAGGAGAGTCGACCTGGGCAGGCACTGAGGGGTGTCCTGGGCCCAAGCGGGGCCGCGCGCTCTGCCCATCGAAGGCAGCTATCCGGGCGTTGGGGCCCCCGTGGTTTCCATGGCAACCCTACTGAACCCCGCTGCTGCAGGGACACCATGGAGGCTCCTGGGCCAGTGGCGTGAGGTGTTCCGACCAAACGGCTGTCCAGAAACAGCTGTGGCCACTGTGGGCAGTTCGCAGCCCTCATGGGGAAGTGGGGCTCAGCAGGGTCAGAGGACCGGGGAGGGCAACGGGTCAGGGACATTCATACACAGGGAGAAAGCAGGACAGCCAGGCCAGATGGCTCCTGGGGCAGCTATGCCCATGACCCCAGGCCAGATGGCCCCTGGGGGCAGCTACGCCCACGTCCCCTGGCCAGAGAGTCCACGAGGCAATAAAATGCCTTGCTGTCCCGCTCACCGCTCTGCCAGGCTGACCCCACGAGAAGGTGCCAGGTGTGCACCAGGTGTGCATCTGGAGACCTCCCTGAGCACACTGGGCAGGCGTACGCCCATGAGCTGGGGCCAGCTGGGCTGGGGCCACAGCGGTGTCAAGACCCTACTGGGGGTGCTGTCTCTTACTCATGGAAGAAATCAACTTTTTAAAAAGGTCCATGGAAAAATAAAACTAAGTACAAGTTTATTTTGGTGCAAAAAAAAAAATCAAAATTCATGTATTCCTTTCTTAAAAGTTCCATGAACTTTTGGATTACCTTCCATATACACATATATGTACGCACACACGTTTGATTCTTCTCTAGCTTCTCAGACCCTCAGGAAGTCCTGATGTCAGGTCTGATCTAGGAGAGTCCCCTTGACCCTGCAAGGGGGTGTAGGGTGATGCCAGGTCTCACCCGGAGCACGCACACACACACACACATACACACACGTGCGTACACACACACACACACACACACACACACACTTCAACACATTGTTTAAGCTGAACATAATTCCAAAACTAGAGTTTTAAGTAATTATAATGGGAAGATCCTCTCTAGTTTGGAATATTTTAAAGTAGGAATAAGAGAGTTTTCTTATGTGCATACCTTTAATTTTGTAAGCCTAATCAAGAACTGTGGGGAAAAAATATGAGCGCAGTCTGGGCTCCCGTGCGATTGGAGTCCAGGACGATTTACTCTGAAGTACCCTTTCCTCCAGCTCGGCTGTTTTGCTCTGCTTCATGGCTCAATCCATGTGCTTTTTAAAAGTGCCGCTCCAGGGGCACACCAGTTGGGCTTCCTCCTGCAGCTGGGGAGGGGTGCCCCAATTCCTGGGGGCCGGTCTCCTGGACCAGTGCCACACCTACCCGCAGGCTGACAGGAGGACAGAGACCCCCAGCCTTCCGTTCCCTGTGCCCTGGGGGCCGGCCTCCTGGGCCATTGTCACACCTACCCACAGGCTGAGAGGAAGACAGAGACCCCCAGCCTTCCGTCCCCTGTGCCAGGGGTTGTGCGCCCCACCTGCCGTGTGCCTGCTGGGACGTGACACAGGAACGCCCGAGGCCGGGCTGAAGTACTTCCCTATTTGCCAAAAGAGCAGACCTGGAGCTCCACTCAGTCCCCTTGATTCTGTTGAACGGATCCTGAAAACTTCCCTGGGGAAGCCAGGGAACCGGGCACCAATGGGTCAGTGTGCGCGTGCCCAGGACTCACGGGTCTTCCAGGTCCCCTGTTGTCATCGGCGGCCATTGTGGCCAACACCAGCACGGTGCTCGGCCTGCGGAGGTGCCCTGTCCCCGAGTGCCAAGCAGCTCCCAACAGCCCCCCACAGATAACCACGCGCACCTCCTACAGACAGGGGTCAGGGCGAGGAGGCGTGGCTCTCACTCGCGCTTCACCATCTCCGTAGGAGCGAGGAGACAAGCGCACGGAGCCGGGTTCTGATGGCTGCAGGACAATCCATTAACCACTTCTGATCGCCTCGTGGGAACAGACGGCGTCTTCGACTTCCAGACAGATGGAAGCAACATGGCAGCACTGAGCTCTTTTACTTTTTTATTTTTGAGGGAGATTTTGCTGCAGGGAGCGTGCGCTCACCAGACAGCAGAGAGAGACAGAGAGACAGAAAGCAAGAAATCAGCACCCAGGGGGATGGCCATGCCACAGTCCCGTCTCCTCCATTCTCCTCTCACGATGTTGGGCACACACACACGTGCCCAGCATGAATTTTAAGCTGCCAGGTCCGGGACTCGAACCACGGTTGACTACATGGGAGTCCAGCACTTGAACCACTATGTCCCCTGCTAGCCCCAGCACTGACATCTTAAGACTTGTGATGAGTTTACTCGTTTATCCTAAGGACTGTCCTGCACCTGGTCTGGACACACCCATCCTGCTCTGCAGGTGCCCCGTGATGGGGCCACCCCCACCCAGAGGTTTCTGGGAATGGGTGAGTGGCCAAGCTCAAGCAGGCGGCACAGTCTTGCCAATGGGACAATGGCCAGGCCAGAACTCACCACCGCATCAGGGTCTCTGCTGACCCCCGCTGGCCTGGGACTGCTTCATGCCTCTGGGCTTGGCAAGCTCCGCCCATGACCTTGTCTTGCAGCCCGACTGCCCCACACTGCCCTTTCTCCCAACTACAGAGCCGGCTGGGAATGTAAGAACTGGGCTCCTCCTGGCAGTGCGTAGGCAGCTCTGTGGAGTGGCCGCTTCGATGCGTCAGAGGTCGGGGCTGGACGGTGCCCAGGTGGGAAGGCCCCGGTGTGCACCCCGGAACCTGAACCTCTGCGCACATGTGCGTGCTCAGACTGGGCTGGCCGAGCCTGGGTGCTTTGTGGCAGGAAGACCCTGTTGGACATGACGCAGAACTCAGGCAGACAGGGAGGCCCAGCCCACCGGGCGTTACCAGGGCGCTGACTTCTAACCTTCTGTCTGATGGTGTACTCTGGGCAGTAAAACAGGTCTGGGTAGGGGCCAGCTGGGGGTGTGGTGGTGAAGGCCCTGGATCCCACATGGCCAACTCTGAGGTTCGAGTTCTGGACCTGGTAGTTCAAAACCACGCCCAGTGTGTGCACTCCCAATTCTTTCTGTTTTGGAGGTTTTCGCTAGAGGGCGCATGCGCTCAGCAGAGAGAGAGAGACAGAGAGTCAGAGAGCGAGAAATCACCCCTAGGGGGATGGCCACGCCGCAATCCCTTCTCCTCCTTTCTGCTCTTGGGATTTTGGGTATGCACACACACGTGCCCCACGTGAATTTAAGTCGCCAGGTCCGGGACTCGAACCGCGGTCAACTACGTGGGAGTCCCAGGAACTTGCCAGTTACGCTAACTGCTGGTCCCTTACCGCCAACTTTGAGAGGAGGGTGGAGAAGAGACTGTGGTGTGGCCAACCCCTGGGGAGTGATTTCACACTTTCCCTTTCTGTCTGTCTCTGTCTGGCAAGCACACATGCCTTATGGC